TCATCTCGTTGAAGGACTTCCTCTCTTTCTCTGCCTCTCTCGTTACCAAGTATAACGTCCTTTTTCAGGGACTAGTCTCTTCTGACATCATGTGAAAAGTATGTAAGATGAAGTCTTGCCATCCTCTAGGAATGCTCTCTGGCAATATATCTTCCAAGGGTGATTTTTTTGTTCTTTTAACAGTCCATTTTCAATATTCTTTGGCAGCACCACAATTCAAACACATAGATTCTTTCTTGGTCTTCCTTGCTCAATGTCCAACTTTCACATATATATGAAGCAATTGAAAATATCATGAGTTGGTTCAAGCACATCAGTCCTCAAAAAAAGTCCTTGCTTTTCAATACTTTAAAGAGGTCTTGTGCATCAGATTTACCTAATGCAATTCATTGTTTGATCTCTTGATTGTTGTTTCCATGAGCATTGCTTGTGGATCCAAGCAAGAAAAAATCGTTGAGGACTTCAATCTTTTCAGTGTGTCATAATGTTTCCTATTGGTCCATTTGTGAAGATTTTGGTTTTCCTTACATTGAATTGTAACCCAGATAGAAGGCTGTAATCACTGATCTTTATCAGCAAGTGTGTGAGTCCTCTTTAGTTTCAGCAAGGAAAGTTGTGTCATTGTGTTAGTCTGGGTAAACTAGAGAAACAAATTCATAGACGCTCATATGTTTATAAGAAAGAGTTTCTATACAAGAGCAATTGAATATGGAGAAAACATCCCAACCAGTCCAGATCAAGTCTAGAAGTCCGATATTATTTCTGATACCAATGTATAAAGTCCTCTTCAGATTCACAAAACACATGCAATGATGCCGAAGGCAGGAAAATCACAGGCCAGTGGGAGGGAAGTCTTGTGGCTCCAGTGGTGTAAGCATCTCAGCACTGGCAGGGGTCTCCATTTGGTTCTGGCTGCATCAGGATTCTGACTGCATCAGGATAGTTTCACGTGGCTTTTTGTCAGAAATGTCTTACAGGGAGTGAGCAGAGTGTCTCCCACCTCCAAGGAGGATATGCAGGAGTTCCCATGCAGGAGTTCCCATAATCTTCAGGAGAAGGCCACGCCCACACAGAGGCCTCATTGGCTATACAGTGATTGACAGATTAGACTCCACCCCTACACTCTTAATCCTCAAATTGACACCAAATTATGTAACTACCACAGTCATGTCCATATGACAGAGTGTTAATAAGCCTTCCTCCAACCCTAAGGCAGCATTCTTCTTATAGTTTCTCTGATTATTTGCTTAGGAATAAATTATGGAAATATGCCCAACCCAAATCCACTGCCCTAAAGGTGACTCCAACTCATATCAAACCTGTAGGACAAAGTAGAACTGTTCCCTAGGGTTTCAGAGATTGTAAATCTTAATGGGAGAAGTCTTTCTCTTAGAGAGTGGCTGGTGGGTATGAACTGCTGACCTTGTTGATGGCAGTCTAATAGATAGCCCACGAAACCACCAGGGCCATGGAGACAATTAGTGTTGTTTTCCAATACTGTCTCTGATCCTTGTATTTTCTTCTTCATTGCAGGTTGTGCCTGATGAATAGAGACTAATGTTACGTTGTAGATGGCTGTCTTCAAGCTATGAATCCAGACCCTACTCCCAAACTATGATACAGAACATGAGCTTTATGAACTATGACAGCTGACTGATTGAACCATGAGACAATGACCCTGAACTTTTGAACCAAGAAAACGAGTTGCATGAGGTAATTGTTTTTGTCTAATTAATATCAGCACTTATAGCTCCTATTTGAATCATTATATTTATCATCAATTAAAAGTATAGATACTTCTGCTTTTTTATTTTAAGGAAACAAGTATGTTTACAAATATTAGAAATATAAATAGTGAATAGTTACTGACAGTTTAAAAATGTTTTATTTAATGGATGCATGGTATATTATGAGAAGAAATTTCCATAAGCTTTAAAGTTTGCCTTAGCTGAAACTTGAATGTGAATTTGTATTTATCTCCACAAAAGGCTCATAAGTCATTGATTTCTTCAAATATTAAACATACATACGCTCTGACTGTTTTCGTATGCTTCAAGAAGAAGGAACATTTTTTCCTTTCTAAATTAAACACTTAAAAATGTCTGACAAAAGAGAATTCTCATTTCCCATATACTACATTTATTACTTAAGGATTTCTGCTGTTTTAATAACAAGATAGATTGGAATTGCATATTTATCTATCACTCCTGTAGAATACTGGATACAGGTAGGCCAGATGTTTAGTTAATTAATTCCATAAATAAAGTTATCTTAATTTTATTTTCCATTTACTTTGAGATGAAATCTCTTAAAAGAAAAATCCATGTGGACCAGGTTATACTATTTTCATTATCCCTGCTGATGGTATTCATTGAGATGTTCAAATTTGAAAATGGGTCTTATCGTTTATTTTTCCATATTCTTTACTTTGCATACAGGATATGGAATCTATCACTAAGTACTAGTACTAATTATTATAGCTCCAAAATATATCTTGACTATATCCATCCTCTCTGAACTTAAACCCACACTTCAGTCCAGACTCCTGACTGCTCATACTGCTCTGAATATATTTGGAATCCTAACTGTAGTGGCTTGAATTTTGTGTCCCCAAGTAAAGTTCAAATTCGAACTCCCAGTACCAGTGACTGTGGCCTGATTTCGATGTAGGATCTTTGCAATCAAAATTATGCTGAGTATCTTGAGATGACATCTTTCTACTTTCAGGGTAATTTCTGAATCCAGTGACACATGTCCTCTTGAGAAGAGGTTTGGGAAACCCAGAAACACAGAAGGAAGCAGTGAACATAGTTGCAGGGACTGGAGGCCAGCCATAAGCCAAAGAATGCTATTTACCACAAATACTTGAGTATAAACCAACCCGAATATCAGCAGAGGTACCTAATTTTACCACAAAAATCTTCGTTATAAATGTGCTGAAAAAAAATGTGCTGAAAAACTCGGCTTATCATTAAGGTTGCCGATGGACATTGCACTTCCACTCATGTACTCCCTCAATGTAAGAACACTGTGTTCTATTAAACTGGCATTCCATGATGCTCACCTTCCCATCGTGATCACTGAAGACAACATGGGTGTATAAGTAAATATGATAAAGAAAGCTGATGGTGCCCTGCTATCAAAAGATATTGTGTCTGGTGTCTTAAAGCTGGAAGATAAAAACGCGGCCATCTAGCTGAGAAGTAGCAAAGCCCACATAGAAGAAGCACACCAGCCTGTGTGATCACGAGGTGTCAAAGGGATCAGGTGGCAGGCATCAAAGAAAAAAAATCATATCATGGAGGAAGAGGGAGAGTGCAGATTGGGGACCCAAAGCCCATCTGTAGGCAACTGGACAGCCCCTTACAGAAGGATCCCAGGTAGGAGATGAGCCATTCAGGGTGCAAGATAGCAACAATGAAACACAACTTTCCTCTAGTTCTTAAATGCTTCCTCCCCCTACTTGCATGATCTCAATTCTACCTTACAAATCCGGCTAGACCAGAGGATGTCCACTGGCACAGATAGGTCTTGGAAACACAGGGAATCCAGGTCAGATGAACTGTTCAGGAACTGTGTTGAGAGCGGCGATACTTGGAGGGTGGAGGGAAGGTAGGGGGGAAAGGGGGAACCGATTACAAGGATCTACATATAACCCCCTCCCTGGGGGATGGACAACAGAAAAGTGGGTGAAGGGAGACGTCGGACAGTGCAAGATATGACAAAATAATAATAATTTATAAATTATCAAGTGTTCATGAAGGAGGGGAGAGAGGGGAGGGAGGGAAAAACGAGGAGCTGATACCAAGGGCTCAAGTAGAAAGCAAATGTTTTGAGAATGATGATGGCGGCAACAAATGTACAAAAGTGCTTGACACAATGGATGTGTATGTATGGATTGTGATGAGAGTTGTATGAGCCCCAAATAAAAGATTAAAAAAAAATTCGGCTTAGACACGAGTGTATACTGTATGTCCTTTTGTTTAATATGTTGAAGGTTGTGGTTGTTATACAATTTCATTGTCCCCTTGATTATATATTAAAGTGTAGGGGTGGAGCTTAGCTTGTCAGTCAGGTCCCAGCGTGTGAGTACAATTGACACACTCCTTGTGGGCATGGCCTTCTCATAAGGAGAATCCTGGGAAGGCCTCCTCCACCCCTCAATCTCTCTTTTTCTCTCTCTCTGCCTTCATCTTCCTACTGGCTGACCCTGGATTTGCACCCAATGACCTCTGATATTCCTACATTTTCCATCATTGCATGTTGACTTCATGTGTCTGAAGAAGTATTCATGGAACTTATGGACTTGAATTGGACTGGGCTGGGATGTTTTCTTGATATAAATTACTTCTTGATATAAAACTCCTTCCTACACATATATGAGTGTCACTGGATTTGTTACTTTATCATGCCGGCCTAACACAAAAGTACTATAGATTTATTTAATATTTTTCTCAGGTTGTGTACCACATCTGTAGAATTTGTACCACATCTGTAGAATTCATTGTAGAATTTCATTGTGCTAAAATACTGACATATAATTATACATAAAAATTATAAAGCATGCTTAAATTTGAGTTTCATAGAGATTTGGTGCTGTCAGGTTGATTCTGACTCATCGGCACCCTACGGGAAGACAAACCCTGCCCCATCCTGCACGGCACACAGTTGTTGCTATCGCTGTTTGACCTCAGTGTTGCAGCCAGGCATAAATTCCTAATTATTTTTCATAATTAATAATTGCTAAGATTGGATTTAATATGCCTAAGTTAAAAAGTATTGTGCTTAAGAAGGACACCAAGAAAATATCACTTTAGAACTTCTAAATGAGTTTACATTTAAGTTATTCTAAAAATCTCATACACTTAATCTAACTTTTTCTCTGGTTGAATAGCCCTTTGGAAATATTTTAAATTATGAGTATTATATATGGATGAAACTGAAGCTATCAAACTATAAGGACTATTACTAATCCACATATACATGTGCTTTTTTTAATCTTTAATGTTTTATTATGCTTTAGATGAAAGTTTACATAGCAAATTAGTTTTCTAAGTCGATGGTTCATCCACAAATTGTTTCATGACATTGGTTGCAATCCCCACACCGTGTTAGGTCTCTCCCTATTTCCTCCCTAGGTTCCCTGCTTCTATTGGTCAGGGTTCTCTTCCTGCCTTGTCTTTTCCTCTCTCTCTCTTTTTTAAAGTTGCTCTTTAAGTCTTGTTCTGAGGAGCACATTCTTCAAGGGGGTTATTGTTTATTTTACAAGCCCACCTGTTATTTGGTGGTGTCCAGGAGTGCTTTTAATTTCAAGTAAGAAGGATGTCTTAGGATAATACTCTCTGGGGTTCCTCTAGTCTCTTTCAGACTGGACTATCTGGTCTTTTTAAAAATTTCAATTTCATTCTATTTTTTCCCTTATTTTAAATCAGGACCTTCTATTTTCATTTTGATTAGAGACTTTTGTCCTAGGATCCGGGTATGATCTAGTTCTGGTCTCAGGATGAGGAGGTTATGGCTCAGGTGGGCTGACAAACTGCATCTTTGAGTCTTTGACTTTCTTAATTCTCCTGTGCTCAAGGTGAGAAGAGACAAGTAGTTTTGCTCAGATGTCTAAATAGTTTCTATGGCTGTGTGTCTTATGTTTTTTATTATATGTATTTATATATGTGTTTATATTTGAGTCGTGTATACATGCACTATTTACAGATATTTATGTAGAACTATCCACAACCATACCTGTATTTGTACATATGTGTATTGTTGTATAATCTCCAACACCTATTTAGCATTAGTAGTTGGGTTTTAAACCAGAAGGAATTGAGTGGATAAAAATGAAGTCTTTTATCGTCAGAAACAGTTAGTTTGTCATTTGTCCTCAACATAAGAATATTGTAGAGTTCTGTGGACCTAGAACAGAGCATACTTTATTGCTTGCAACAATTAAGACGGCAGGGAGATAGCTTTCAATACACTGTCTCCTGGAGCCAATGGTGCAGGAATCTTCAATGCCTATGAGAAAAAGGGAAGTAGACATATTCACTTTATTTCTGGGAATTTCAATCTACTCTTTAGGAGTAGGAGCCCTGGTGGCATAGTGTGTTGCATGTTGGACTGCTAACTCCAAGGTCAGCAGTGTGAAACCACTAGCTGCTCTTTGGGAAAATGATGACATTTTCTACTTCCGTGCCCTTTAGGAAACCCATAGGGGTAGTTCTTCCCTGTTCTATAAGGACAGTATGAGTCAGAATCAGTTCGATCACGGAAGAAAGATTCATCAGGGATTGGGTGAGCTTTTCTTATGGAAGCTGCCAGACTCCTTGCTTTGGAAAGATGTCTGGGCGGAAACCAATGGGCATCTTTGACATGTGTCCGGTAGCTTTTGGTGTCTTGATATGAATGCTTTTGGTCTGGGGAAGCTGAAGTCAGTAGGATTTTTCCTGGGCAAAGACATGCAACTGCTTAAAGCTGTTTCTTAGCTAAGTTTCTACAAACAGCTAAGTAGAAAGAAGAATAAAGAAAGAAAAACATCTTGGGAGTAGTAAATAGGGTGGCCAACCCTACAATGAGCCTATTCTGTTTTCTTGAGTCTGATCTGTTTGCTGGGGTCAGTAATTGAATGGTCAGTTGGTCACGATGGTCCTTGAAAGCTCTAGTCTGTCTCATTTCTATTGGGAATTTTGAACTCTAGATTTATTTATTGATGGATATTTAGGGACTCTATTTTAGAAGAGATCTCAAAAGGTGTTCATTCTCAGGCAGAAGTGTTATAAGATATTTTTTCAGCCCTGTGGCTCCCTTGTTCAGATTGTAGAGCCTCTTTGTAGTCCCTGAATATTACTGATTTTTCAAGTCATGGATCACTTGCTGCTTTGTGATATAGGTCCAGGCACTAGGGATTTGACCTCTGTCTGAGAATCTATACCCATATTTTTGTTCAAGATTCTGTCTGAAATGACATATAAACCATTTCCAGTAGGGCTGGGAGGATGAATCCGGGGTAATGCTCCATGTAGCATAATCCCCTCCTGCCTGCCGGTAGTTCTTAAATGGGACTTGCCTGCCATCACTCAAAAACAAGTAATAGTCACTGGCTACCATAGTGGTACAGCAGTCAATGCTAAAGTGATTTGTTAGATACCAGTGAAATCCATTGACAGCCCCAGGACGATGGAAGGGAACACTGTGGTCTCCGTCATGTGTAGAAATTGTGTTTGTACAAATTGCCTTACAGCGGGGGCACTGTTTCCAGCAGCCACAGAGATGTACAGAGAGAAAATTTCTAATTTCAGGAATGATTTGTTCTATAGCAATAGTCAGAGAGTCCTGTTCTATTCTGTCCATTGTGGGATCCAAGGCTTTACTCATGGCCTCCTTGAGAAATTCAGTATCTTGGATTTCTTGGTGTTCAATGCTTACCAGGGCTTTTCGTGGAAACACCAAATTATCTTTCAAGTGATCACAGAACAGATCCAACCATTCAGATGCAGTGCTGCTCTTATCCTTGGCTACTGCAGTGGATTCACGAATGGCTTTGCGGATGATGCCCTTAATGTCATCTACAGTGATTTTTAAAAATATCTTTATTCGGTCACCACTGTTTTCTGAGCAGTATCTTTGAATCTGCTGTTCAATGTAAGTATTAAAAAATTCCTGTGGCTTATGAATGTACTCCCAGTATTTAGAAAAGTTTTCTTCTTCTGCCAGAGAGATAAGAATGTGCTTCTCCAGGTTTGCTCTATTTTCATTGAATGCAGGGGTGTTAGCCCTCATGTCCCCAGCGACTTGATGGGCCAATTTTTTCAATATGGCAGTGGAGGCAGCAGGAGTGAGTTTCTGCCACAGAAAATCAACAAATGCTTTGACAGAGGTGGCTCCTTGGCAAGAGATCTGAAAACTCATGAAGAAGTCATCTTTCTTGCTTTCCAGGTAGTGCACAGGATCATTTGCTCTCTGAAATGCCTTGTGCAGCTGCTTAAATTTCTCTGTTGCTCTTTGAAACAAACACAAAGACAAGTCAATCTTATATGCATTTGTGAATACATATCTATTCTCAGTGGGCGCAGATGTCACCTTCTCATCTATCATTCCCAAGATTTCATGGAAATAACTTGGATTGTAACCACATTGTTGCCTTCCAATGTTGTGAATAATTTCATGAAACCTTGACAAAATGCTTTCAGTCATCATATTTATGCACTCTTTATCCTGGACCTCCAATGTCTTTTTCAATCCCCAACTCCTGCTCATTTGGATATGTTTATCATAATTGATGTCAAATATTTGGCTGAAATTACTCTTTAGGCTGCTTGCCACATCTATCTCCTTTTTGTAATACTCCAAAATAATGTTTTCACAATCCACATCAATGTCAGGCTCCGTGTGTGGAGGGGCATTTGACGCTACATCATAGACCCATTTTTCCCAAAGCTGATTGAATTTCTCATGCAGCTCTTTCTCACTCAGTTCTTTGTCTTTGACAGTTAAAGCCAACCTTCGGCTTCTTTCCAATAATTCCATTTCATAACCTGACTTCTTTGCATCCAGTTTTTCTTGGCTTTTCTTTAAAGAAATAAGCTCTTCAGCTTTTCTTTTGCTTTCTGAAAGAAGGGCCTCTTTAAGCATCATCAATTTATGCTCAAAATTAGCTCTCCACTGAACCAGTATTTCATTATCTGGGTCTTCAGTAAAGAACTTTTCAAGCTCTAGCTGGATGGCTCCATATTTTTCTGTCACTGGTGCCTCGATTGTGCTCATTTTGATGATCTGGATTTTCCCATTCTGAATCTGGTTGGTCAACGTGTTCTGCAACTCTAGTACATCACTCCTCAGCAACCAGGTCCAGCGGTTATACATGGTTTCCAGTTTGCTCATGGCCATGACCTCTTTGGTATTCCTGAAGCTGAAAATAAAGTTTTCATTCACTAGGGCCCTCCACAAATCCTGAACTCGATATTTCACTTCTGATAATTTCATGATGCTACCCCTGGATTCCTCTTTGGCAGTCCTAATAATTCTGCTTTTCAGTTCTTGGACATTGTGGCTGTAACGAGGATTGGGAGGGGCCATTGGAGGGTTGCCATCCCAGAGGTGAGCAAAGTAGTAGACGTGATTATTGACATCAAACTTAATGACATCGCTGAATCGGGTCACATCTGAGCACTGTTCTTGTTCAGCTGCTATTGCTGCCATTTCATCTAGTCTCTGCTCCAGCCGTCTCCGTCCTTCCATCATTTGGTCTTTAGCTGTAACTTCCCCCACATTCTGATGCACAAACAGGCAACTAGGGGAGATTTTAACTTGTTTCATCCTGAGAAAGGCCTGGACAACTATTTGTAAAATATCCTGCATCTCTGATGGGTTCTCTCCAAAAATATTGATGAGAGTCAAGTTTCCCAGTCCAATGACGAAGGTTGCTAACTCATTATCCCGATTCTGGGACTTGTTGTAGAGTTCCGGGGCCCGAAGTCCTTCTGTGTCCACAACAAGCATAAAGTCAAAGCCGAGTTCTTCTGTGAATGGCTCGTCCACCTTCAGAAGCTGCATATAGGCCCCCCGGGTGCACCTCCCTGCACTGACCGTGAATTGCAGCCCAAAAAGCGCATTCAGCAGAGTAGATTTCCCTGAACTCTGTAGGCCAAGAATAGAGAGAACAAACACTTTTTTGTTACCAAGTTTCTCAGAGACCTTGTCGAAAACCGCTGCCACCCATTTCAGAGGGACATAGGATGCTTCTCCATCCATCAGCTCAACAGCAGCCCCTGCTATCATCAGGTCCGCAGCTATTTGGGGAAGGGAGAGGAAAAGGGCATCTTTTGTGGAGGAAACTTCCTCTAGTGCTTCATAGATCTGTCCCACTTCTCTGAGAAGGTGCTCAGTTCCCAAGCTACAATCATTAATCTCTTTGCAGATGGCTTCGATAGTATTCTGCAAGCTTCTGAGGGAGCGACTCTTTGGGACTTTTTGCTTTTCTGTTTGAAGCTGTGCCCACAAAGAGCTTTGCTTCTCACGCAGTTTCTCCAAGGGTTCTATGGTTAGGTTGGTCAAAAACACACTCAGCCACTGCAGGAAGTAAAGTTTGGTGTGAGTTTCAGAATTTTCTTGGAGGATTTCCAGGACAGATCGCATTAAATCATTCAGAGGAAAGGCTTTGGCCAACTGCTCATGCCGTATTCGTTGTTTTTCTGTCTCGATGTCACTCTTGTGTTGCTCAATGCTCCTGTTTCCTTTTTCTCTCAGATGATAGAGTTCTTTATCCTTCTTACACCAAAGGTGCCAGAGCTGTCCTTGTAGGGGCAGTAAGTTTTCCTTCATCTTAGACAACTTTGTTTCTCCCAAGAGCGCAAGGAGTGCTTGTGCCTTTCCTTTGGCTTCTTTACAATCTCTCTGGTCTTCATCTATTAGGAACCCTTGCTGGTGAGCAATTTGAGCACAGTCCTGTAAGCTGAGTGCCTTATCTGATAGCGCCAGCAAGCGTCTGATTGTACATTTGAGCTCGTCTGTTAATTCGGCCTCATTTCTATTTTTGATCCCAATTCTCACTTTCTGGCTGGCATTATTGGCCATGGTTTTTTCTTTGTCATCAAGCAAACAGATCAGAGGCTTTGAGGACTGCCACAAATCACGAACAACTTTTCGGTTTTCATTATTGCTATCAGATGTTGACATGAGGATCACAATGAGAGAAGATATTTCCTGCAAGAAAAGGAGCTGTTGTTTGTGGTCCTTTGCATCACCGTGGAGATTGGTGAACGTCACACAGTTGTCAAATCTGTCCTCCTCTTCGCCACCTGGACAGAACCAGCAGATTTCCACCACACCCCTCATCAAGAGACAGTCTCTGCTGCTCCCTGTGCAGTGTCGGTGGAAAAAGACATCATGTTTCCGTTTACTGACAAGCAAGTTCATGATCAGAGATTTGGAGGCAGAGAAGCTATTTCCAACTCGAAGGAAGGACACAATGGGTGTACATACAGCACATATCTGCTGGTTCTTGTAATTGCTCTTCTTCTCGTGGACTGATTTTTCTGCTTGCTGCCAACTTCTTCTGATCTGACCGAGAGACCAGAGAGAGAATTCAAGTTGGGAAGTGCAGGGATTTGGTACCAAAAGAGGAAGAGCAAACTGACAAACGGAAAGTTTGGCAAAAACATATTGTCTGGAAAAGTCATCTGCACAGTGATAAATCGCCATCTGAATATCCATTGGGTGAATGTGCTTCTGATCAAGGGCTAAAGTATTACTGGAATTGTCAATGTCTTCAAAGATTTCATCATATAGGTCAAAAGCTTCATTTTCAGAGCTTGAGGCACCTGCAGAGACAGAGTCTTTTGTGTTCTCACCAGCTTTGAAGACCAGGTATCTCAGATTATAGTCAAGCATCAGGAGCTTCTGCAGAAAATAGAAGGGAAGCTCTCCTTCACAGCTGGGCTGGGTGTTAAACACAGAGGCCTTGTAGATGAGATGAAAGTTCGCTCTGCCCATCTTCTTTGGGTAGTACTGTTCTAGGCCTAGACGCTGAAGCAAATTTCGGAAGGCTTCATTTCTGATCCCTTCGGTTTTGTTATTTTCATTGTGATCTGCCTCTTGGGGCTGTCTCTTTCCACTGCAGAGACCTCTTAATTGCTTTATCACCTCATCCATTTGCAAAGAAGACACAGCAACATCGTAATTCCCATCAACCAGCTGTCTCAAGTCTTTCTCCAGGTTTTCCCAATCACGATCTGCCCCAAATTTGGTGAGGACACATTCAACTTCTTTAGACATGGATCGCCCAATGCGTTCTCTCAGGAATGCTAACCGTTCTGCTTTCTTCTCTGGAGAAACCGCTCCAATTCCTACTGTGGCTGTCAGACCCGTGAGCACCAGGAAAGCCTGAGCCCCATAACTGCAAATAATTTTCAGCTCGTGGTATTTATCATGAACACTTTCCATTTCATGCAGCAGGTAGCCTACCTCATCACACCCCAGCAGATACTGAAAAGTGTTGTGCACCATGCGGTAACCTGCCCCAGCTGCAATGGAAAGTAGCAAGAGATGTGTGTCCAGCTGCCCCATTTCCCGAAGGTTATCCAAGAAGGACTGGAGAGATGAGCTGATCTTATAAGTAGCTTTTCTTTGAGCTTCCTCAATTGATTCCTGAGAATCAGCGTTGGCCTGCAATTCCACGAGGGCCTTATGAGTCTCCTTTAAGATTTGAGTTAATTCAGATAATTGAGAGATGTAGACTTGCTCGTGGCATGACTCTGGTCCGAAGATCCACTGCATGATGGAATGAGCTTGAGAGAAATTTTTCACTTTGTAGATGTGAGGATCCAGAAGAGTACGCAACTGAGATGTAATAAACTTAATATCAAGATGGGAAGACTCCTTGCAGAAGTTGAAAGTGTCCACCAGAAAATTCTGCAAGTTGCAATCTGTGAGGCACATGTTAATCCAGGTGTCATAACTTCTAACTTTCTGACTCAAAGTTTGCATGAAATCTATCAGTGTTCCCAGTTGCTCTTCGGGATCAGATACATCCCAAGATTTCACATCCTCTAGGAAAACCCTTATTTCCTTGTCAGCAGTAAGGAATTCCTCTCCACTTTGAATCTGAGCCGTGAGGCCAGTTAGTGCAGTGTAACTGTCTATTAGGCAGTTAGCCAGCCGAAGAGGATCCTTAAAATCACTTCTGTGGTTGGAGATGATGATGTCCCAAATGGGCACCAGCTGAAGCCCCCGGTCAATGACGCACCAGGTTTGATTGTTGGCAACAAGCCCCGATTTCCACTGGGAAAAGCCATCCGCCTCTGGTGGTCCACCTGTCTGAGCCACTGATAATTGGACTTTGGTTTGGAGGTTTGGGAAGCTACTTCTCTGACACGTCACATTTGCATGAGAGTCGGAAATGTCCACACCTGCCGCAATGTTCACTCCAAAGCCACTGTAGCTGCCCATTATGTAAATATCCAGAGCCTCTGCTGACTGCTGTTTCACTTCTGCCAGTTGCTCACATTTGAAACCCTCTGAAACAGCCTTCCACCAGTAGATTCCTCCCAGGTGCAGAGGGCCCTGGTTAGCATGAGAGCCAAACCTGTGGAAGAAGGCCTCCGTCCTGCGCCTCACCAAGGGCAGTGTGTCTGGACCTTCAGGTGGTCCCAGGAGGTCTTCAATACATTTCAGTTCTTGGAGAGCAGCCTTGGAGAACTGGAGCTGGTCAATGGGAAAGTGACATGAGGCCAATGGCATGTAGCTGAACTTGGTTGTGCAGAAATAAGAGTCCTCAGAACGTGACTGCTGACTCTTTTGGGATTCCGAATGTTGACTCTGGTCCATGCCCGCTTCCATGCTGAAACCCCAACCTCCACCCTTGGCTGAGGCTGTGGCACTGAAGCCCAGCTTCTCAATAGTTTGGGTGAATTCAGATTCTGCTTGAGAAGATGAAAATTCTTTTGTTTCCATTCGGGTGCCCTGCTCAGGACCAAAGAGGGAGAAATTTTTTGGGAGTCTGATCAGTTCCTCTCTCTTCTTGATCAGGTCTCCTTGGTTGCTGGATTTGTAAATTCCCTGCAGGGCCAGCCCTCCAGATGCCCTTCTCACCAGCTCTTCATCTTCCAGGTTTTGGCTGCGGGTCACTGTCCCCTGCATGCTACTGAGTTGTCTGTGTATGTTTTCCAGGACTTCCCGTAGAGATTTCTCAGGGGCTGGCCAGTACTCTCTTGGGATGTCCATTGCTTGCCTCAGTTCTGCTTCCTTTGTCTTTACAGCCTCTTCCTGTCGCTGCCTCCCCCCTGACAGCAAATCCTTCAACTCCTGCAGTGCTTTCTCTGCCTGCTTCTGCTTGTTCTTCTGAAACTCCTGTAAACTGGAAAGAGTATTTGAGTGTGACACTTTAAGAAGTTTTCCTAGGGCCCGTTTTTCCCAAGGATGTTGTGCCTGGGATTTCAGCTCCTGAAAGTCCTTTTCTTCTAAGTATTGTAAGGCTTGGACACAGGTCACACCCATCTGTTCTTGTAGTTTGGGCAACCAGTACGCAGCATCCAATCCCACTTCTCTCAGCATCTCATGGAGCTCCTGCCTCTCTTCTCCTTGGAGCAGGTGTTCATCAGGGATGGACTCTTCTGGATCCATGACTATGGAGAGAGCAGACACTGGGTTAGTCTGATTGTATTCTGACCTAAGTCCTGTCAGCCACATAGCTCAATGGTGACCAGACTAAGGATGCATGTCTCCAAGGCATTTTCACTCTCTCCTTTCCTTGTAACCACAAATATATTTTGTTAGTGCTTTTAGATTTTTTGTGGTTGGCGCAAGACATTATTTTGAATGTTTTCCACATGTATTACCATGTTAGTTGCCAAGGTGAGTTGCAAGTTAACAAACTGGCAAGAATAAATTACTTGGAGTGTATTAAATTGAGGGTTAGCATTATAAAATATGCATATTTTTGATAACTAAAAGATATAGACCTTACTGTGATCAAGCCAGTTCTAACTCATAGTTATCCTAAAGGTCAGAGCAGAACTGTCACTGTGGGTTTCAAGGCTGTAATCTTTACAAGAGCAGAAAATCTATTTTTTTTTCCATCAGTGGAGTGGCTGATGGGTTCGAACTGCTGACTTTGCAATCAGTTTTATTATGCTACCTTACACTTGTGTCACCAATTGATTCTCTTTTCCTATTAGTTTCTGTTAGACCTGTGTTGACTAGTTTTGCTTTCTGTCAATTCTTTGAATATTTCATGTTATTTGTTCCCACACCCACACCTTTTAAAAAAAAATCATTTTATTAGGGGCTCATATAACTCATCACAGACTGCACATACGTCATCTGTGTTCAGCACTTTAGTATATATGTTGACTTCATCATTCTTATGACACCCACTTTCCACTTGAGCCCCTGGTGTCAGCTCATTTTCCCCCCTCCCTCCCC